TACTGAGCCCGCAACTAACGGTGGGGGCTGGCCCCTCTACCCCCCATCACCATTTTAATTTAATACTACACTGTGCTAGTCTATAATGTAGAAACCCAGATGTAGACACTAGTATAGTATTTGCCTATGGATTATATCATTAAAATCAAACACAAGAAAATTTTTGCTAAAGATAATTCAAAATTGGTTGCAGAAGGAACTGCTAGAAATCCAAGCCAGATTCCAAAGAGAGCATGGAATGAGGGATATTATTGCTACTATCAGATGAATCTTGGATGAAAATAGAAAATACTAGAGTGGTGGTTATATGATCAGTTGTCAGTTTGAGAGGATTAAGAGTGAAGGGGTGGAGTTTAGCCTGTCCATAAGGTCATGATTTGATGACCTCATTTAGAGGTGCTAAGGAGATAAATAGCTCGCTGGAAGCAGGATGCAGGCTCACTCCCTGGGAGACATTGCAGCTGACAGGACACAGGGAGCTATGCTGGTGCCCTGAACGGGAGGAGCCACGTGGTGATCCCTGCCAGCACTGAGATGCTTACAATGTCACTGGATTCAGGAGACTTCCCACCCACTGGCCTGTCATTGCATGTGTTTCGTGAGTCTGAAGAGGACCTTATAGATTAGTGTCAGGTATATGGGCTAATATCGAACTTATGGACTTGATCTGGGCTGGACTGGAATATTTTCTTAATGTATAATTGCTCTTCATATAAAGCTCTTTCTTGTACATAAATGAGTGCTTATAAATTTGTTTCTCTAGTCTACCCAGACTAACACAACTAGAGAGATGTTTATTGACTTTAAAGATTTCATTGACTAAAAAGGTTGTGTGAGTCATAAATGTAGATAACATGAAAGAGAATGGGAATGCCAGCAGACTTAATAGAGATGATGTTTATATATTGCTCACACAGAACCTGTCTGTAGTGTGATCACAAGGTGTCAAAGGGATCTGGTATCAGGCAGCAAAGAACAAAAAATCTTATCATTGTGAATGGAGGAATGCGGAGTGAGGATGCAAAGCCCATCTGTAGGCAAATGCACATCCCCTTACAGAAGGGTCTCGGGAAGGAGATGAGCCAGTCAGGGTGCAGTAAAGCACCAATGAAACATACAACTTTCCTCTAGTTCTTAAATGTTTCCTCCCCCCACTCTCTCATGACCCCAATTCTACCTTACAAATCTGGCTAGACCAGAGGATGTACACTGGTACTGATTAGAGCTGGAAACACAGGGAATCCAGGACAGATAAACCCCTCAGGATCAATAATGAGAGTAGCGATACCATGAAGGTAAGGGGAAGGTGGGGTAGAAAAGGGGAACCGATTACAATGATCTACATATAACCCCCTCCCTGGGGGATGGACAACAGAAAAGTAGGTGAAGGGAGACATCGGACAGTGTAAGACATGAAAAAAAAATTATAAATGATCCGTGAGGGAGGGAGGGGGAAAAATGAAGAGCTGATACCAAGGACTCAAGTAGAAAGCAAATGTTTTGAGAATGATGATGGCAACAAATGTATAGGTGTGCTTGATACAATGGATGGATGGATGAATTGTGCTAAGAGTTGCATGAGCCCCCTATAAAATGATTTTAAAAAAACACACACAATAGAATCTGTCTGTAGACCATGAGGTAGTCATTTGAACATAACTGGGGATATTTCATGGTTTAAAATCAGGAAACGTGTTAGGGTTGTATCATTTCACCATACTGATTCAGTCTGTGCTGAGAAAATAACTCAAGAAGCTGCACTATATGAAGAAGACTGCAGATGATACAACTCTGCTTGCTGAAAGCAAAGAAAACTTGAAGCATAGACTGATAAAGACCAAAGACTATTGTTTCAGTATGGATCACAGCTCAACATTAAATAATAAAGATAGACATGAAATCCTCATAACTGGATCAGTCAGCAACATCACCATATATATATAAAAGACGGAAGTTATCAAGGGTTTCATTTTACTTGGATTCACAGTCAACACTCATGTAAGCAGGAAACCAAGTAACAGATGGCACTGGGAAAATCTGCTGTAACCAATCTCTTTAGAATATTTAAAATGTCATTTGGAAACTAAGGTGAGATTGACTCAAGCCATGGTCTTTTCATTTCCCTCGTATACATGTAAAAGCTGGACAATTAATAAAAAAGTCCCGAGAAGAATTGATGCCTTTGAATGATGGCATCGGTGAAGAAGACTAAATAGGCTTATACCATGCATTGCCAGAGAAATGAACTGTGTTGGAAGAAGTACAGCCAATATGTTCCTTAGAAGGATGGGTGGACTTGGTCTCACGCACTTAGACATGTAATCTAGGGGATCAGTTCCCGAAGAATGACATTATGTTTGGCAAAGTAGAGAGTAAGCGAGAAAGACGAAGACCCTCATGAGACGGACTGTTGCAGTGGCTCCAACAGTGGGATCAAACAAAGGAACAAATCTGAGGATGGCCCGGGATTGGGCAGTATTTCATTCTATTTCACAGAGGGTTGTCATGAGTGGAAACAATCTATTTGACCGTACTTACCAACAATAATGGACGAGTCAGGAAAAGGGAAGGAAACAGCTATTGGATGTAGCCAAATTGTTGTTGTTGTTAGGTGCCATCAAGTCAGTTCCAATCTTACATACAAGCATCGCTCTTGTCTAATTTGAGTCCTGGCCTTAACTTTACTCACTTAAGAAAACCTAGTGTGCACAAGAGGCTGTGTGACTAAGTAGTTAGAAAGAAATGGGTGTTGTGGATTTAGATCATTCAGTAGGTAAGTAAGAAAGTGTTGCTACAAAAGTATACATTCCCTTTATTAAACAGAAACATCAAAATATGAAGCTATTGTTGCTCAACATATCCCCACCTAGGTATGTATACTTTTGAATGAAGTGTCTCCATCATGCGAGACCTCCGTCAAAGAATTCGGTGCTCTTTGATTTACACCAGGTCAAATAGCAATTTTGGCATCCTCAAGGGACACATATCATCTTCCTTTAAAATTTTCTTTTAGTTTTGGGAGCAACAAGAAGACTGAAGGGGCAATATCAGGGTTGCAGGGTGGATGGGTTAAGGTTTTCCAGTAAAATTCTCAAAGGACAGCCCTTGCTGAACGAGCATGTATTGCCACGATGGAAAAAAAATTCCTCGGTGAGACTTCCCTGGTCTTTTCTTTGCCAAGGCAGTCTTCACTGTTCTTAAAACATCTTCATAATAAGACCCACAACCAGCTGTGTCTTTTTAGGAAACCTATAAAGATTGCTCCTTTGAAATCTAAAAACAAACAAGCAAAAAAAACCCAAACACCATCACCTTCTGAGCTGACCTCTCTGTCTTGAATTTAAAATGGCCCAACAGATCCCCTTGGGCCCTTTGTTTGGATGGGGCCTTTCTTGCTGGATAATATTGGCAAATCCAAGGCTTGTCCCTGGGTACTGTTCATTCCACGAAATCGTGTTCATTAGGTTCAATCTTGCTAGAGCGACGGAAAGATCAGCTCTTTGAGCTAACTGATCTTCATGTTATGCTTTCAGAACCATTGAGCTGAAACCTTGCAGGGGCCCAGAGGTTTGCTTAAAATTGACACTGGCAGGCAACGCGAGATCCCATTCTCGGCAGCTCTGGCATCCGTGGGAACTCTGGGGTCTTCTTCCACCAGTTCAGGCTTCAGCCAGTTTCTTCATTGTTGAAGATTAGCAGTCTTTCTTCTCTTTCCTTAAGGTCTTCCTGATCTTCTTTAAAACATTTGATCTATCTAAAAGCTGTTGTTTTATGTGGAGCGGCATTCCTCTAAACTTGATGCAAAGCTTCAATAATTTGGGAAGGTGGCTACATGAGTTGTTGTTGTTTTTAATGGATATTATTCTCAACCTCAAAATTGGCTTTTCTTCTCAGAGCATAAAGAGTATCTTTTTTTGGGGGGGGGGTGACATCTTCATGCGCATTCACTGCTGCGGAGACATGTTTGGTCACCTTTTGTCTGGAAGAAACACGTGTGTGTATGAGTTGGAACCCTAGTAGCATCATTTTTGACTTACCCTCATATGTCCGTAGTATGAAAACCTTAAAGGTATAGAACGATATGGAGTAAACCGTCTCCTTTCAATTCTGTTCCCCAGCCACCCAGTTTCCTCTCCAGGGGCAGTGCTATTCATTCATTAAAAATATATAATTTCTAGCTTCTGGAATAGACAATGAAACAAAATAGCAGAACATTCTTGTTTTCATGAAACTTATATCCCAGTAGGGACACAGAAACAATATGCACTATAATTTTTTAAGATAAATATCAGATAAAAATAAATCAGGAAAACAGACATTTGGGGGCTGAGGAGGTGGAATGAGGGAGCACATTTCACCAGGGAAGGCTTAACTGAGTTGCTAACATTAGAGGAACGAACTGAGAGAAGTAAAGAAGCAAGCATGTAGTCTTCTGGGGTAAGAACATTTCAGGCAAAGAAACAGCTCTTTAAGGAAAAGCATGTCTAGTGTGTATAAAAACCAAGCAAGGAGGCGAGTTTGGCTGGTTTGAAAAATTGAGAGCCAAGTAGTAAGAAAGGTGGTAGAGGCAGAACATACAGGCCCTTGTAAGCCCTTGAAAGGACTTTGGCTTTTACTCAGATGTGATGCCACTAGAGGTTTCTGAGCAGAGGAGTTACAGGGGTTAACTTCCATTTTAATATAACCATTCTAGATGCTTCATTTAAAATAAACTGCCTGGATGGACATTGGGCCTCTACTCAAGCCCTCCGTCAACAGAAGAACACCTTGTTCTAATAACCCGGCATTCTGTGATACTCACATTCCCGACAGGATCACTGAAGACAAAATGGGTGCATAAGTAAATGTGAAGAAAGCTGATAGTGCTCAGCTATCAAAAGATATAGGTCTGTGGTCTTAAAGGTTTGAAGATAAACAGTGGCCATCTAGCTGAGAAGCAACTAAGCCCACATGGAAGAAGCACACCAGACTCTGTGATCATGAAGTGTTGATAGGATCAAGTATCAGGTATTAAAGATCCAGAATAAAAAATCTATCAATGTGAATGAGGGGGAAGGCAAATTGGAGACCAAAAGCCCATCTGTAGAGGATTGGACATGCCCTTACAGAAGGATCACAAGGAAGAAATGAAACATACAGTTTTCCTCTCATTCTTTTTTTTTTTTTTTTCTAGTTCTTTAATGCTTCCTCCCCCTACCACCCACCTTGACCCCAATTCTACCTTACAAATCCGGCTAGACCAGAGCATGTACAGGGGTACAGATAAGAGCTGGAAACACAGGGAATCCAGAACAGATAAACCTCTCAGGAACAATAATGAGAGTAGCAATACCAGGAGGGTAAGGGGAAGGTAGGGATAGAAAGGGGGAGCTTATTACAATGATCTACATATAATACCCCCTCCCTGGGGGATGGACAACAGAAAAGTAGGTGAAGGGAGACATCTGTCAGTGTAAGACATGAAGAAATAATAATAATTTATAAATTATCAAGGGTTCATGAGGGAAAAATGAGGAGCTTAACCAAGGGCTCAATTAGAAATGTTTTGAACATGATGAATGTATGGATTGTGATAAGAGCTGTATGAGCCCCCAATAAAATGATTTTTTTTAAAGGGAAAAAAAAGAGTTGGCTTCATTGCAACTGGTTTTCATAAGAGAATACTGAGTAATTGCACACCAACAGTTAGCTAATGCAATGAAGTTGGCAAATTGCCTGACGTGCCCAAACCACCAAAATGAAGGCAGTAAGAGGGAAAATCTGAACAGAGCTATAGCAGAGACTGAATTAGTAATAAAACCTCCCAACATAGAAAAGTCAAGGACCAGCTACACTGTTGAATTGTTCCTACTATTGAAAGAGAATTAGTGTCAGTCCTTCTTATAATACTTTAAAGAGTACAAGAGAAAAGCCAGGTATAAACATCAAGAAAAAATGAAAACTGCAAAGCAACATCATATATGAATATAAACTCAACAATTCCGCAAAAAAAAACCCAACTAACAAATTAGCTCCAGCAACATATTTAAAGGCTTATGAACCATTAGCAATTCGGATTTACCTCAGGAATGCAAAACTGGTTTCACATATGAAAATCAATTAAATATAATTTACCACATTAACAGAATGAAAACCCAAAAAACTACATGATGATCTCAACTGATGTAGAAAAGCATTTTTGAAAATGAAGAAAAGCGTTTTTAAAAACTCAACACCCTTTCATGATAAAAACACAACAAATTCGAAGTAAAAAGAAATATCTTCAAGCCAAAAAGCAACATTGTAACAAGGCACAGTGTCCATCATAGCCAGTGGTGAGAGACCAAAGCCTTCCCTCTGGGATGAAGAACAGACAAGGATGTCTGCTTCAGGCATTCTACTCAAAGTGCTACTGGAAGATCTAGCCAGAGCAATTACGCAATTAAAAAACTGCATGAAGTATGGATTTAGGAAAATTAGAAGTCGTTAGAAAACAAAATGGAATGTATAATGATCAATATCCTAGGCATTGGTGAGCTGAAATTGACTGATATGGGCCGTTTGGAGTATGAAAATAATATGGTTGACTATCCCAGGAATGATAGAACCCAAAGAAATGGCATTACATTCATCATCACAAAGAACATTTGAAGATCTTGAAGTACAATGCTATCTGTGAGAGCTTAATACCTAGATGCCCACAAGGAAGTTCACTTAATAGAACTATTATTATTCAACTTTATGCACCAACCACTACAGCTAAGGGTGACAAAAATTGAAGACTTTTCTACCAATTTCTTTATTCTGAAACTGATCAAACACACAATCAAGACGCATTAATAATTACTGACGATTGAAATGCAAAAGTTGGAAACAAAAAGGAAGGATCATTAGTTGAAAAATATGGCCTTGGTGAAATAAATGTAGCTGGAGATTGCATGACAGAATCTTGCAAGATCAATGACTTTACTGGAAACACATTTTCTTCAACAACATAAACACTGACTATTAAAGAGCACTTCATTAGATGGAATACACAAAGAGACAATGGAAAAGCTCAATATCGTCAACACAAACAAGCTGACTGTGGAACAGACCATAAATTGCTGATAGGCAAGTTCAGGTTGAAGCTGAAGAAAAAAGTTAAAGACCATGAGAGCCAAAATACAGTCTCAAGTATATCACACCTGAATTTAGAAAACATCTCAAGAACAGATTTGACACATTGAACACTAATGACAAAAATCTAATGAGTTGTGGGATGGCATCAAGAACATCATATATAAAGAAAGCAAAAGTTCATTACAAAGACAGGAAAGAAAAAAAAGATCAAAGTGGATGTCAATAGAGATTCTGAAATTCACTCTTGAACACAAAGTAGCTAAGGCAAATTGAAGGGAGTGATTAAGTAGTGTAAAAGGCCTGACTAGACCACTTCAAAGGGCAGCTTTAGAAGACAAAGTAAAACATTGTAATGAAGGTGCAAAGAGCTCAAATTAGAAAGCCTTTAAGGAAGAACACATTAAGCATATCTCAGGCTGAAAGAATCAAAGAAAAAAAATCAAGCCTTGAGTTCCAATCCTGAAGGAGTACATGGGCACACTATTGAACCAGGTAGTAAAGCATCAAATGAGGATGGAAGGGCTACACAGAGTCACTCTACCAAAAAGACTTGGTCAACTTTCAACCAATTCAAGAAGTAGCATATGATCAAGAACCAATAGTATTGAAGGAAGAAGTCCAAGCTACACTGTAGGTATTAGCCAAAAACAAGACTCCAGAAACTGACAGAAAACCAGGTGAAATGTTTCAACATGCTGTCAAAGCACTGGAAGCACTCATTCATTTATGCCAAGAAATTTGGAAGACAACTACCTGGCCAACTGACTAGAAAACATCCATATTTGTATCTATTTCAAAGAAAAGTGATCCAATAGAATGCAAACCTTATTGAACAAAATCATTAATGTCACATGCAAATAATTTTGGTTGAAAATCATTCAACAGTGTTTGCAGCAGTATATGAACATGGAGCTGTCAGAAATTCATAGTGGTTTTTAAAAAGGACCTTGTATAAATAATATCATTGCTGTCGTTAGATAGCTCTAGGCTGAAAGCAAAGAATACCAGAAAGATGCTTTCTTGTGTTCTTGATTAAGCAAAGAATATCAGAAAGAAGCTTACTTGTGTTTTTGATTGTGCAAAGGTTTTTGATTGTGTGGATCATAGCAGACTATGAATGTGTTGAAGTCCTGGTAAGAATGGGAATTCCAGAACACTGCATTGCGCAGGTAGAACCTGCACACAAACCAAGAGGCAGTTGTTCAAACAGAATAAGGGAATACCACATCAGGAAAAGTGTGTATCAGGATTGTATCCTTTCACCATACTTAATCTATCTGTCTGCTGAGCAAATCATCCGAGAAGCTGGACTGCATGAAGAAGAGTGTGGCATCAGGCCTGGAGGAAGGCTGATTAACAACCTGCGATATGCAGATGCCACAAGCTGCTTGTTGAAAAGTGAAGAGCACTTGCAGTACTAGATGACGAAGATCAAAGACAGCCTTCAGTATGTTTTGCAACTTAATGTCAAGAAGATCAAAATTCTCACAACAGGACCAGTAGGTACTACGATGATAAATAGAGAAAAGATTGAAGTTGCCATGGATTTCACATATTTATATATTTTCAAATACAGCAGCATTATAATAAAACTTAAAAATATATGCTAGAGCATTGTGGTCAATATGAAATGAATTTATTCAAAATTTCATGTGTGTGTAACTAAAATAATTCCAGACCTTTTCAAAGAATTCCAGGACAGATGCTGAGGTTATCAGTAGTGAGCAGAAAATCCAAGTGTTGTTATATACGAGGGGATTCAAAAAAGTTTGTGGACAGTTGTAACTAAACAATAATTGATTTTTTCCCACAAACTTCTTGAAGCTTCCTCATTCTTTTTTCTTCATTTCATTTTTTTCATTAACTGATTTTGTAGCAAGAAAACATAAAAACAAAAGAAATTTCATCTGGAAGAAAACAACCCAGAAACCTGTCTGCTGCTTAGAACAAGGGACATTACATTTGTGAAAGAAGCCTGCTTCCTTTTATCTATGCCTAAGGAGTCGTTGCAAAACAAGTCTGAGGACCATTTATACGTACCTTCTGGCTAGTTCTTCGGGCATTCGCTTTGGAACCAAGGCTTTGTCCAGCTGAATCTCCAATACGAGGTAGGTCCCTGCTTCTAAAAATTGCTGTAAAAACATTTTTCTCTAATTTACTCTTTCCAGAGAAAAAGTATATTTATTTAAAACTCAGTAACATAAAATGTTTATAATACAGTAAGTGAGAAAACGGATTTGCTGTTCAAATAGCAATCCTACAGACAACAGAATGAAACACTGCAGGGCCTGTGCCACCCTCACAGTCGCTACCACAACAAAGCCCACTGTTGCAGCCACTATGGTGGTCTATCCTGTTGAAGACCTTACGCTTTTTACTTTCCCACGCATGATGTCCTTTTCCAGACTGATCCCTCATGCTGACATGTTCAAAGTATATGAGATGAAATCTCACCGTACTTGCTTCTAAAGAGCATTCTGGCTGGGTTTCTTCTACATTTGCTAATCCATCTGGGATTTCAAGGTATATTTAATATTCTTCACTAACACCATAATTGAGACACATCAATCCTTATTCACTGTCTAAATTTCACATGATGTGAAGAGACTGAAAACTCCCTGGCTGAGTCTGACTCATCTTAGTCTTCGAAGTGACACCTGGCTTTTGCAGACTTCAAATAGATCATTTGCAGCAGATTTCCTCCATGCAACCCCTCATTTGGTTTCCTGACTGGTGCTGGTTATGGATCCAAGTAAAATGCAATCTTTAACCACTCCAATCTTTTATCTGTTTATTATGATGTTGTTATCGGTCCATTTGTGAGAATTTTTATTTTCTTTATTTTATTGAAGGCTATCTTCATTGGTCTTCATAGTAAGTGTTTCAAGTACTCTTTGTTTCAGCAAGCAAGGTTTGTCATCTGCATATTGCAGGTTGTTAATGAGTCTTCCTCCAGTCCTAATGACACATTCTTCTTCATATAATCCAGTTGCTTTGATTATTTGCTCATCAAATTGATTGAATATGCTGAAAGGCTACAACCTTGACATTTCTCTTTCAAAGTACCCCTTTGTTCTGTATGTACAACTGCTTTTGGTTTGTGTATAGGCTCTCTATGTGCACAATAAAGTCATCTAGAATTACTATTCTTCCTAATGTTATTCATAATTTGTAATTATCCATATAGTCAAATGTCTTTGCCTAGAAAATAAAACACAGGCACATCTTCCTGATATCCTCTGCTTTCAGCCAAGAACCATCTGCTATCAGCAATGATATCCTTTGTTCCTTCTGAATCTGGCTTGAACTGCTGGTAGCTCTGTCAATATACTGCTAGAACAATCTTAAATTATCTTCAACAAACTTTTACTTGTTTATGGTAGTAAGATATTATTTGATAAATTCCACAATCTGTGGGTCATCTTCCTTTGACATGTGCACAAATATGGACCTCTTCCTGTTGGCTAACCAGATAGCGGGCTTCCAAATTTCTAGGTATAGATAGTGTTTCCAACATTGCAATTCTTTGTTGAAACATCTCAATTGGTATTTTTGTCAGTTCCTGGAGTCTATTTGTCACCAATGCTTTCAGTACAGACTGCCTTCCTCAGTATCATCTGCTTTTGAATGCTAACCAATGCTTTTTTGAAACTGTATGTTTCCCTTCTAAATTCTCTTGATGCGTCCTGCATCATTCACTATTTTGCTCATAAAATCCTTCAATATTACAACTTTAGGCTTGATTTCTTTTTCTTCAGATCTTTCAGCTTGAGAAATGCCGAGCATGTTCTTCTAGTTTGGTTTTCTAACTCTAGGTCTTTGCACATTTCATTATAATACTTTGCTTCCTTGAAATCTGTCAGCTCTTTTACTTCATAGTTTCTTCTATTCAAATAGTAATTCTACCTTCTTAAAAAGGTTCAGAGTCCCTTCTGACATAGTGTAATATATTTTTTTTTGTTTTTCATAGTGTATTATTTAATGACCTTTTGCTTTCTTCATGTATCATGTCTTTGATGTCATTCCACTTGTCTGGTCTTTGTCATTAGTGTTCAATGTTCAGTTCTCGAGATGGTCTCTAAATTCAGGTGGGATATACGAGGGGGCACCTCCCACCCCAAAGAATCTTTCTTTCAAATCTATGTATTTAATTTTTTTAACAAAACAACTTATCACCTTCAAAATGCTCTCCATTACACTTAATACATTTGCCAAATCTATGATTCCATTCTTGGAAATATTTTTCAAACTCATCTGTTTGGATGGCTGGCAGCACCTCCCTTGGTTTTGTTCTTCACCTCTTCTGTGTTGTCAGATTGCTGTCCTTTCAGGTCCCTCTTCATTCACAGAAACAAAAAGAAGTCGTAAGGTGCGTGGGGCAAGAGAGGGATGCTGGTTTTTGCCAAAAACTGGTGCACTGAGATGGCTGTACAAGCAGGTCCATTGTCGTGGTGACAAAACTGTCTGCCACAAATCAGGCCTTTTTTGTCACACACTGTTACTCTGTCTTTTCAGAACCTCTAAATAGAAAGCTTGATTAACAATCTGACCTGGTGGAACAAACTTCAAATGCACTATGAGTTGACAGTTTCATCTGTTCAGGAAGTTGACGGACATCCACAATGAGGTTTGTCATCAATTGACAATTCCCCTATTTTGAAATGAGAAAACCACTCATACACTTGAGTTTTTTCCATAGTGCTATCCTTCCTTGTAAGCTGTGTTCAACATCACAACAGTTTTTTGTGATTTTTTTATTTCCCGAGCAGGAAATAAAAATTCACAGCCACACACTGTTCTCTTAATTCGGCCATCACAAAAAACAAAGTTCGAGTGAAACTGCTTTCATGAAAAAATTCACTGTGACCAGAGAGAACCTTCCCAGGCGACACCACTGGGTGCACTAACTCAGGGTGAGTTGCTCTATGCTCGCCTAGCGGGAAAAATTTGTACTAGGAAAGCTCTGCCAAGTGTAGCTTTTACTTAATGTTGTACTTTGGCAGTCAATGTTTTAAATTTCTCCAGCTTCGCTTTGAACTTGCACACGAGCAATTAGAAGTCTACCTTCAGTCAATCTCTAGCCTTATTTGGATAGATGATGTCAAACTTCTTTATTCTCTATTATCTCTTCCCACACATGTAGTAAACTTGATTCCTGTGCATTTCTTCCATTGAGATTCAGGGGTGTAATCACTGTTGTTGAAAAAAGATATTTGCAATGAATAAATAGTTGGTCTTGCAAAATTCTATTCTAGAGTCTCCAGCATAATTTCTACTGCCAACGCCATATTTTCAAGTTATTGACTCTTTCTCTTTGTTTACAATCACCAGTAATTATCAATGCATCTTGATTCTATGTTTGATCCATTTCAGACGTCAGAAGCTGGTAAAAATCTCAAATTTCTTCAACTTCGGCATTAGTGGCTAATCATAAATTTGGAGAGTCGTTGTATTAACTGGTCTTCTTTGTTGGCATGTAAGTATCCTGGATATCCCTGCTAGTTTTTGAAATATTGGTGGCATAACTTCACATCACAGCAAATGCAAGCTACTACAGTACAACAAACTGACGGATGAGTGATAGAACATCTATCTACCTAAACAGACATATATACACATAGAGAGGGGCTTCAGATAGTTGATGGGAAAATAAAACTAAAAGATAATGGAATTTTCCCAAGACCTTTTTGAAGCCCCTTTGTGTTTGTGTGTGCCATAATTGCTAAACTATTTTTTTGCATAGAAAAATACTAGAATGAAATGAGTGGTTATCTCCGTTATCTCTAAAGGAAAGGGTTTTATTTATTTTTTACTCAAAATTTCCACCTCAGCTAAGGCCCTGTTTAATCTGTTCATAATGCTTTGCATGGAATTGTCTTAAGTGAATATCATTCTTTGTTCTACTAACCCTCTTTCATGGGGCCTGAAGAAAGAGTCTCACAATCCCCTGATATTTCAAGTCTTATCCTCCCTTATCACCGTCTGCTAACTTTGATCTGTCATATATTTCTACCCAGACATTTTGCTAGCATTCGAAATACAACATGTCCCAAACAGAACCTGTTGTTTTCCCAAACCAGTCTCTCTCTCTCTCTCTCTTTTT